GTGGTTACTGCATTGCAATAATAGGCCCATTGAAATGAGAAATAATTAACTACCAAGTATTCTAGATCATGATTCTATGATTCTATGATTCTATGATTCTATGATCATGCAAGCATTTTTGTTTTCCTTAAAATGCACTCAGAACAATGTATCTGCCCATACAGGTGAAAGCTGCTATGATTTCATGTTCAGAAGGCCACTGTATTAGTGTATCTGCATAATATTTTAAATCTGTAAATGAGTGAACAGTTGCTTGCCCCTGTCACAGGATAGGAAAAGCACAGAACTGGTTAATTGGCTCATTGTTTTTATTTAGGACATAACCTAAAACTGACTGCTGCTTATGTTGAAAATTAATTTTATATGTCGCAGTATAAAGGGTTTTGAAATAGTAGCCACAAATATCACTGTGACTAAAGACCTAGTATATATTTGTTGTTTTTGTTGTTGTTAATAAAATAAGTTCCATGTATTTTATAATGTGTGTGAGTACTTGCTTGCGAAAAGCCAGTTTACTAGCAAAGGAACCAGTATTTTTCTTGGCAGTTAAGCATATTGTGACTATAATAAGGAATCTGACATTTCAATGTTTACTAACTAATGAACCAAGGCCATACAGGTTTTGAATGATAAATCTTGCACTTACTCTTAGGTTTATAACATGCCTTTGGAAAGAAACCAGAATTAAAATGATACCCAAAACATACGGTTTAAGTTACCTCTTTGTAACACTGGACAATTGTGTCTCATGTATTAGAACAACAGTAATTAAGGAAAGTAATTTATCAGCTGTCACCCAAATGGAAATAATATTTGTCATGGGATGGAACAAAGTGTTTTAAAGCAAATTGCTAAAATTGGATGAAGAAAAACATGGCTAAACAACAGCTTTACAGATAGAACTTTTGATTTTACTGAAGCAGATATTCCAGTTACCTCTTCCAAAGAAGATGCATCATTTTGACTCAAGACTGCTAGCAAGAAAAAAAGCTGCAGTTTGCATCTGTTTGTGATTCTGTGTATACCAGCAGTACTTTAGCTTTTAGAACATGCAGCTATCTTTCAAAGTGCTCAGATTATAAAGAGAATAGGTTTTGTTACTAGAAATTAGGTGCTTTTGCAAGCAGATTCATCAGACCTAGTTAAGTACCACAGTTTATTTTTCCCAAGTCACTTCGCTGCATTGGACTTACTTTTCCATGCAGTCTTGCATGAAATACATTTAAGAATTTTGAAATTTAGTTAAAATTCTTAAATATGTGTACAATTTTTGTCCCTAAAGCTTAGCTTACCTTTTCATGTTTTGTAGAGGAACTACACGTACTAATAAGTCTGTAATATGAAACACTTTCAGACTGACACTTTTAGCTGTCAAAACAAACATCTGTCGATACAAATGATGTTGATCATTGTGAATTTCTAGAGTGTGAAATCTTGATGTAATATTAAATCTGTTGTAATTGCTTGGTAGGAACTGTATACACAGGCATGAATTTTGAAGCGTAAAATGGACCTACAGATAATGAATGTATTTGGAGTGGTGTCGAAGACATTTTTTAGCAGCATATCTAATCTGATTTTTGTCTTTGCTATTTTTGCTTACTTTACTTTGTTCAAGATCCTGAAAGGTCCTGATTGCTTTTAGGATAACCTGTACAGATCTCTTTCACACGATCTCTGGACCTTCTAGTGTCAAATCTTGAAAATGATAATGCTGTTCCTTGCCTACTCATTTCATAGAATCATAGAATCATTAAGGTTGGAAAAGACCTCTAAGATCATCAAGTCCAACCGTCAGCCCAACACCACCATGCCCACTAAACCATGTCCCTAAGCGCCTCATCTACCCGTCTTTTGAATACTTCCAGGGATGGGGACTCAACCACTTCCCTGGGCAGCCTGTTCCAATGTTTAACCACTCTTTCAGTAAAGAAATTTTTCCTCACGTCCAATCTAAACCTCCCCTGGCGCAACTTGAGGCCATTTCCTCTCGTCCTATCGCTAGTTACTTGGGAGAAGAGACCAACACCCACCTCGCTACAATCTCCTTTCAGGTAGCTGTAGAGAGCGATGAGATCTCCCCTGAGCCTCCTTTTGTCCAGGCTAAACAACCCCAGTTCCCTCAGCCGCTCCTCATAAGACTTGTTCTCCAGACCCTTCACCAGCTTCGTTGCCCTTCTCCGGACACACTAACACCTCAACGTCCTTCTTGTAGTGAGGGGCCCAAAACTGAACACAGTATTCGAGGTGCGGCCGCACCAGTGCCGAGTACAGGGGCACGATCACTTCCCTAAATAG